TGCGGACATGGCACCACTTGGCATGCCATGCTGTGGTAGGTGTCCCACATATAAAGTAGAGGAAGATGGGCATGGATGTTAGCTCAGGGCCAGTCTTCCTCAGCAAAAAGAGGAGGATTGGCAGTAGATAGCTCAGGGCTAATCTTCCTCAAAAAAAAACTTATACATAGGATAATACCTAAAAACAGTGAGGCTAAGCACAGCAAATGTCATTTTAAGTGATGAAATCCTAGTCATTTGCACTCAAGGAAGAGCGAGGTGAGCAGCTGGCACCCTCACTGCAGGAATCTCAGAATCATTGATTTTGGTGGTGACAGTAAAAGCATGATGACAGGACTTGAAGAGCCAGTATGAATATTTGAAAAGGAGAGTGTAGCTGGGGCAGGGATTGTCTACCTAGAAGACCCAAGAGATCACTTATATACACAGCTCCCAGCTTTCCAGCTGGAAATGGAAACGGGAAAAAAATACCATTCATAGTAATGTCACAAACTATACAATTCATAGGAACAAATTTTACACAGAAGCCAAGAGTTCTACGAAGGCCAGGAAAGGGGACAAAAGCCATGTGAAAGGTGCAGCCCAAGGTCAGGAAGAGGGCACTCCCTCCACGGAGCGCAATGTCTCCACTTAGAATCTCAGTGGACAGTTTTCTTAAAACGGAAGAAACGATTTCAGTGATAAAATGGAAGGGTGAATGAGAGTAGCCAAGAAGAAGATCATGAACAAGAAGAGTAATTAAGAGGACCTTGGGGCTGGCCCTGTGGCCAAGTGGTTCAGTTCGCGTGCTCCACTTTGGCGGCCCCGGGTTTCGTTAGTTCAAATCCTGGGTGCGGACATGGCACTGCTCATCAAGCCACGCTGAGGCGGCATCCTAAGTGCCACAACTAGAAGGACCCACAACGAAGAATATACAACTATGTACCAGGGGGCTCTGGGGAGAAAAAGGGAAAATAAAATCTTTAAAAAAACTTTCAGAGCCAGCCCTGATGGCCTAGCGGTTCAAGTTCAGTGCTCTCTACTTCGGCAGCCCGGGTTTGTTTCCTGGTCTCAGAACTACACCACCTGCCTGTCAGCTGCCACGCTGTGGCAGTGGTTCACACGGAAGAACCAGAAGGATTTAAAACTAGGATATACAACCATGCACTGGGGCTTTGGGGAGGGAAAAGAAAAAAAAAGAATGATTGGCAACAGATGTCAGCTCAGTGCAAATCTTTCCCTGCAAAAAAAAATATATATTTGTATGGATTAAAAATACGAGAATATTTACTAGAATGTGTGTATAACCTGTGAATCAGGGATCTCTTATAAAACTAAACAGGAAATGCAGAAGCTCTGAAAAGGATAAATACGTTTGACTTCATAAAGAGAAAAGAAATTGTATGGCAAAGGATGCCATAAATAAGGCCAAAAGCCAAAATATTGGGGAAAATGTTTGCAGTGCATGTGATAATGAGCCCAAGTTAATGACCTGCTGAAACAAACATACCCACACTTTTCAGAAGATGGTAACAGAGTCCAGAGCATCCACACCGTCTAGGATATAATCCAAAATTACTCAGCTTATGAATAAACAGGAAAATACAACTCACGTTCCTGGGAAAAACTTACCAATGGAGTATGACCCCAAGATGCCCCAAATGTTGGAATTAGCAGGCAAGAATTTTAGAACAGCTATTATAATTATGCTAAACCGAAAAATATGCTCATAAGGAGTGGCGAGTTGGGGCATCTCAGCAGAGAAATAGAAAAAAAAATCGATATCAGAAAAGAAGTAGGTGGAATTCTAAAACTGAAAATAATATCTGAGATTTAAAAATTCTCCGGTGGGCTAAACAGAGAGCAGATGACTGAAGAGTCAGTGAGCCTGAAGATAAAGGGACAGAAGTCACCCACTCTGAAGAACACAGAGGGAAAAGTGGGCCAGAAGGGAAGACTTAGGAATCGTGGGACAACATCAAAAGGTCTAACATACATGTAATTGGAGGCCCAGTTTTCTGGGGGTGCCCAGAAAAAGAGGGCATAAAAATATGTGAAGAAATAGAGGCCAAAATTTGTTGAAAATTGTTTTTACAGATTTAAAAAGTTCTGCAAACCCTATGTAAGATAAATATACAGAAAAACACACCTGAGTTCAACACAGTCAATGTTCTGAAAAACAAAGATCAAATTTGGAAATCAGTCAGAGAAAAATGATACATAACACACAGTGGAGCAGGGCTTCAGCAGCTCCTCGTCTGAGATGACGGTGGCCAGGGTGCAGGCGGGAGACAGAACCACACAGGTTAAACCAGGGAAGTTTCATATAAAAAATTATTTTTTCCTGCTCTTTCTCCCCAAATCCCCCCAGTACATAGTTGTATATTTTAGTTATGGGTCCTTCTAGTTGCGGCATGTGGGACGCCACCTCAGCGTGGCCTTGTGAGCGGTGCCATGTCCGCGCCCAGAATCTGAACCAGTGAAACTCTGGGCCGCCAAAGTGGAGTGCGCAAACTTAACCACTCGGCCATGGGGCCAGCCTCAAATTATTAATGATAACAAAAGAGTATGAGATAAAAGGAAACTTTGTGTTTTCCGAAGGCTGAGGGAGTGTCCCTAAGGAGAGGCAAATTTGGAACAGGTTCAGACCTCAGAGACGACTTGGCTCAGCCCAGCAGACGGCAGAGACGCTTTCTGGTTTGGTCAGGCCAGAGCAGGCCTGGAGCTTCCCGGCAAGCAAAAGGCCACCCTCCCCGGGAGCACAGGTGCAGGAGCAGACTATTAGCAACTGGTGACACACTTGAGCACACATCGAGAGTCTAGGTGCTGGTCGGGACGGGGCCAGCAGAGTGCATGGGCCACCGTGAAGCCTTTTGTTTTGGGGTCAAGAAGGCTGGAGAAAGGTTTTCACGAGGTCAAGGCTGCAAAGTGGCAGAGGAACGACCTTCTGGATCAACGACTGCGGCAGGTTCCGCCTGGGGTCTTCACCCCTCCACCACCGGTCCCTCCCTCAGGAGAGCCCCTTCCTCCTGCAGTGTCTCACCAGCCCCTCTACTTGGAAAGGCTAACATCGCACTCATTCGAAAGGCGAAGGTGGGGCCACTGCTCTGGATCACAGAGCTCACATCGGGAGGGGCTTTCAGAGCCCAACGCAATATAGGGAGGACTGACACAGGACACCGAAAGAAAAACCCCTACCGACCCATAATTCTACATCCAGTGAAAATATCCTCTGAGAATAGAGTTAAAATGAAAACATTTTCAGATAAAAGAAACCGCAAATCTGTCGCCCATACACCTGTACTACAAGAAATGCTAAGAAAGCTTTCAAGCTGAAGGAAGCTCAGCTCACCGGAAAGAAATGAAGAGCACGTCAGAGATGGTAAATATCTGCATCAAGAGGAAAGACTATTATTTTCCTCTTTTTTAAATAAAATACATATGACTAGATAAACAGAAATTAAAGCATTGCCTTGTGGCATGTGTAATCTATGTAGATGTAACTCCTCTGACAAACGGAGTGTCAAGGACAAGAGTGGGGATGTGAAGGGCATATAGTTGAAAGGTTTCTACACTTTAGGTGAAGCAAATGATAGTAACTCTAAGCCAATCGTGTCTTAAGGATGTATACGACAATTGGTTGAGCAGCCAGGAAAAAAAAAGCAATAGTGAACTTAAAATGGAACTTTAAAAAAGATTCAGATAACCCAAATGAAGGCAGAAGAGGGTGACTGCAGAAATAAAACTCAGAGACAGCAGAAAGAAAAATAGTAAAAAGGCAGAATTCAACCATACCGATGATTGATATGATGATGGACAAACACTTCAAGACGGAGACAATGAGAATCGGTTTGTTTTCAAAGGCCCACGTGCCGCCTCTGTCCAGGACGAACATTCTGCTTTACCCGTGTGATGTCCGAGCGTCCAGCCCCTACCCACTCTCCATCCCAGCCCCAAGATGGGCGGGGCCCATTCAGAACAAGGGTCAATGTAAACTGAATCAGAACAGCAAAAGGGGCTGAGGCTGGCTCCCCTGGAAGGGGACACAGCCATTGTCCCCACTTCACAGAGGAGGAAACTGAGGCCCAGAGAAGTCAACATACTGTGTCTTTTTTGTGTGTGTGAGGAAGATTGTCCCTGAGCTAACATCTGTGTCAACCTTCCTCTATTTTGTGTGTGGGATGCCACCACAGCATGGCTTGACAATCAGTGTGTAGGTCTGTGCCTGGGATCCAAACCCTCAAACCCTGGGCCGCCAAAGCAGAGCGCAGGGACTTAACCACTACACCACCAGGCAGGCCCAATGCTGTGTCTTCCTTACATCGTTTCTGATTTGCCTCCTGCCTTAGACTATGAGCTGCCCACAGGTAGGATGTCTGTCTCTTCTGTTTGCTGTTGAATCCCCAGTGCCTAGAACAGTACACACAGTAGATGCTCAGCAGATGTTTATGGGTTGGTGGATGGGTGGATGGGTGGGTGGATGGGTGGATGGGTGGGTGGATGGATGGTTGGATGAATGGATGGTTGGATGGATGAGTGTAGCCCAAGATTCAGAACTTGGAGATGGGAGCTTCGGGACTTGAATGGGTCCATCCCAGGGTCTGGGGTTTCATCAGCTGCATAGTTCAGACTTCTTGATAAATTCAACCAGAATGAGCAAACAGATAGACGACGGAGTGAGAGAAATGGGATTACAGGGGACAGGAAGAAGGAATAGGAATCCCCGGACACATAAGCCAAGTGGCTGTCTCAGGAATTATGATTAAACCCTCTGAGCCTGAGTTTCCCTATCTGTCACACCAGCTAGCCCACTCTCCCAGGTTCCCAAGGAGACATGAGGGTCTCCCGGCTGGATCCCCAAAGCAGACAAACCCACCATCAGGTCTTTAGCGGCCCCTAGCACTCCTGTTCTGTGGGGCTAAGGTGCTGAGTGGACCGGAGGGCCCAGGGGACTCTGAGGGCCAGATGAAAATGACCCAGCCCGGTCTGCCCCCCACCAACCCTCCACCAGCCCCACTCACCTGCCCCTGAAGCTGAAGCCACCAGCCTGAATGGCCAGCCTCAGGGCCCTAGTACCACAAGGCCTTTGTGAGTCACTGCCAAGACCCAGCCAATCCCCTCCAGCTCCTAGGGGGAGGGGGTTCTAGAAGGCAGCCTGGGGGGGGTGGGGGGGGGAGGGGGGCAGGACTGGGTCAGCGCTGAGGGTCATAGTGGTCGCTACATATTGCCTGCCCATCCTGAACAGAAAGTTAGGGCTCTGAGCACAGAGGGGACCCCGGAGTCTCCCCCAACGTGTCCAGAGGCCGCCTCCGTCTCTCATCCCTTGGTCATTTGCTGAGCACCTGCTTTGTACAGGGACCTGATCTGGGCCTGGGGACACAAACAACTCCAATAATTTGGGGGTGTGAAACTTCTAGGAGGGAACCAAAGAAGGGCTGGGAAGGGCTGAGTCCCCCAGGGGAAGAAGAGTCAGCGTGGGAGGAAGGGCATCCCCGCAGGAGGGCACAGCATGAGCAAAGGCTTGAGGAGGCAACAGGTTGGGCCTGATTAGGGACCATGGAGGAGGCCGATATGGCTGGAGGTGAGGGAGACAAGGGCTGGAGGAGGGGACGGAATAGGCTGGGCCTCAGAGAAGAATGCAGGAGTTCGTGTTTTATTGAGAAGGCCGGAGCAGCCAGGAGGTTTGGACCAAAGGAGGCACAGGCTGACTTCCATCCTGAAAGGCCCGACTGGGTGGTGTCTGTGTCTGGCTCTGAGGACAGGGGCTCCCTAGGGTGGGGCTGGGCCCCAGGCCCATTGGGATCCCCACATGGCCCAGCAAAAGTGGGCACTGACTCTGAGCCACAGTCCTGGAGTGGAAAGTGAGGCCACTGTCCCTGGTCACCTCCTGCAGCTGGGCCGAGGCCTGGTGTGAATTGCTGCTGGCCAGGCCAGGGCTGACACACACGTTGGCCTCAGCTCAGCAGGATTCTGCCAAAACCACACAGCCCCAGCCCCCAGCCTGGCCCCAAGGCCTCTGCCTGGGCTCCCAGGGGAGCCACGGGGGCACCTGAGCGAGAGGCCAGCAGGGACACCCAACCTCATTGGAGAGAGACCCCTGGTCTTCTCCACACTGTGGGGCAGCTTTGGGCAAAACCAGGGACATGGCAGTTGGACAGGACTTATGTCTTTGTCTCCGCAGTGAGCAGGACAGTTCCCATCCATGCCCCCAGTGAGCCAGACACATATCCAGAGTGGTCAGGGCAATAATGGAGGAAGAAAGGAGTACTGCGAGAGCCCAACAAGGCCCTGGCCCAGCCTGGGGGGCCATGGGGACCAGATCCTTTGGAACTAGCTGAGGAGGAGGAGGGTGTCTGCCTCTGAGCTTGAGAGGAGGTGCTCAGCTGGGTGGCTAAAGGAAGATGCTTATCAGGCTGGCAGCTGTGCAAATGCCCTGAGGCCAGAAGGAAAAGAAACAGCAGAGTTTGGGCAGGGAGGTGCCTGGAGAGAAACATCTCACTTATCCAGGGCCAGGTGCAGTCAGGGACTTTTTTCCAGCAGGGTTTCAAGTGGGAATTAGATCTGTGGTTTTCAAAAAGCCCCTCAGGGCCCTTGCTAGTGAAAAGATAAAGTCTCCGCCTAGCCCCAAGGCTCTTGGAAGGCCTGGGGAGGCCAGCTGTGCCATTCCTGGAACAGGGCTCCTCAAACTCTTGGAATCTCCAGATAAGAGTGTCTTTTGTATGCTAATGAGATGACTAGCGGCTGGGAGAGCCCCCGGGTAGCTTCAGGATGGGGGTTGGTCACACGGACCTGGCTCCCTTGGAGGGTTGGAAATTTCAGCCCCACCCTCCCTCAACCTCTGGGGAGGGGAGAGGGGCTGAAGGTTGAGTTAATCACCCAGGGCCAAAGATTCAGTCCAGTGCGCCTTCACAATGCAGCCTCTTGGCTCCAGGGAGCTTCCGGGGTGGTGGGCAGCGAGGTGCTGGGAGGGCGGCTCGCCCAGAGGGCACGGAGCCCCGCACCCCTCCCCTGCTGCCTTGCCCTCCGCTTCGCTCCATCTGGCTGCGCCTGAGTCTGTCCTTTATCATAAACCGGTAAGAGGGAGTAAAGTGCTTCCCGGGCTCCGTCTAAACATGAGAGGGGGTATGTAAGCCCCGATTTAGAGCCGCTTGCTGGGCAGGAGAGGTGGCAACCCGAGGTTCGCACCTGAAGGGGAAACTGGCGGGACTGCGCCTTCCCCTGTGGGGCCTGTGCTAACTCCAGGCAGGGAGTGTCAGAATCGAACTGTGGGACACCCCCGTGGTGTCTGGGGAGCTGGAGAACCAGTTGGTGTGGGAAAAGACCCCACACATTTGGCGTCAGTGCTCTGAGCACACCGGGTGCAGGGGTGCCGGGCGATCTCGCCACCTCCCTGGGCCGCCCCTGCGGGCTCGAGCAGCATCTTTGTTGTTCGTCCCCCAAGCACTTTCAACTTCTGAGCCAGGAGATGGCGTCTGGATGCGAACAGCCCACTTCATGGCACAGGAGGCAGAGGCCAGCGGGGAAAGGACTTGGCGGAGGCCACACGGGCAGACTGGCACCCACATGTCCACCCCCGTCTCCTGAAGAGTGAAGCTCCAACTGCAGAGTGTGGTTCTTGGTCTCCTGTGTCGAGAGGCCCCCACCTCAGCATCGGGCCCCTTCTCCCTTCTGAAATGCCTGCTGGAGGGCAGTGCAAGGCAAGGCGCCACCGTTAAACAGCAAACCCCAAAGCAGCTCCTGAGGCTTGACACGTCGGCAGGGCTGGGAGGAAGATGGAAGGCGCGGGCCACAGCCTGACTCGGGGGCTGAGGGACTGGCCACCCGGCTTTTCTTCTCGGCATCTGTCTCCTCATGTGTAAAACAGGCATGATTCACTGCCCATCGTCCCCTGCTGGGCTGGGGACACAGTCGGTGCTCAATACATGCCTACCAGCCCCACTTACCCTTGGCCACCAATGCTCACGTCCCTCCAGGCCCCAAGCTGAGGCAGACTCCTATGCCCATGGTCTTTCACCCACACAATAGCAAAGGCCAGAGCAGACAGGGCCAGAGGGTAGCCTGGCGGTCAAGGCTCTGGAAGTGAGAAGCCCAAGGTCCAAATGTCCCTGCAGTCTCCTAAAAAGGCTGTGTGACCTCAAGCCAGTCTCTCAACCTCTCTGAACCTTAGTTTCCTCAAAATGGGAGAACAGGATGTTGGGGGGAGGCTGCTTCAGGGACGATTTGGAAAATCCCGGAATCCAAGTCAGCACTCTGAAAGTGAGGTCCCACAGTGGCAACCATACTTCCAGTACTGGAGAGAGGCCGCCTGGCCAGGTCCCACCGTGTCACCTTTCCTCTGGGCCTGAGACTCAGTTTCCCCACTCACCAAATGATACTAAGAGCCTACACTAAGCACCAAGTGTAAGCCAAGCACTGCTCTATAGATAAACTCTTAATCCTGAAAGCTTTATGGAGCAAGTTCTCTGCATTATTCTGCCCACTTTACAGCGGGACACAGACGCCCGGAAGGTTAAACTTCTTTCTTCCTGACTCCGGCTGGGGCTGTCTCCTTTCCACGCCGCAGTCCCTCCCTCTAATGGGACACTCGCAGGCTCGCTAGTTCCGAACGCTGCTTGGCTGCCCCAGCGTGCCCAGCCAACTCGGACACCGCCGGCCCCGCGCCCAGGCGCGTCTAGATGGCGCTCGCTGCGCGCCAGATGTGCAGGCCCCTCCCCGAGCCCGCTGCCCTCCCCCGAGCAGGGGCGGAGGCAGAGAGGCGACAGGCGGGGGAGGGGAGCGGCCAGGCCCCGCCCAGCCCGCCAGGCCCCGGCGGGGAAGGAGGAGGCGGAGCCGAGCTGGCGTAACGACTTTACTGAAAACAGAAAACCGGGCGAACCGAGGCTTACAAACAGGAATGTGGACTCGTAGCAAAACAAAACAAAACAACAAAAAGGGCAGGAGGAGGGGTGTCGGAAGGAGGGAGCGAGAGCGAGGAAAGGGGAGGAGGGAGGTTTTTTTTTTTTTCTTCCCATTTCTTTAAAAAACCAACACAAGAAAACACACACACACACAACCGTTTGTTCCCGAGTAGAAACATAAATAGGGCAGAATCGAACACTCTGTTCTCTCTTCCAAAGTGGAGAAAAAAAAAAGTAAAAGAAAAGGAAACGCAGGGCTTGAGGCTGCACCCCCCGGAGCCCCTTCGGCGGCGGGGTGTACAAAGGGGCGGCCGGGGCGCGCGGTTTGTGCAACCCCGGTGGCCGCGCGCGGGGTACAGAGGCAGCGCGAGGGCGGAGGGGTCATGCGCTCGCCCCCAGACAGCAGGGGGTCCAGCTTGTCGAGTCTGAGGCGCCCTCTCCGAGTCTTGGGCACCCTCCGGTGGGGGGCTGCCCCGAGCCGCGCCCTCTCCGAGTCCGGGGCGCCCACGCCCCCCTCCCATGCGAACCCGCCTCTCGGGGAGGGGGGCCGCGCATGCGCCCCGCGCGCGGGCTCAGTACGCGGGCACCTGGTGCTGGGGCAGCAGCTGGCAGCCGCTGTTGACGTGGCTGAGGACCTTCTGCTTGAGCTGCGCCACCTGCTCGCGCAGCAGGCTCGCCGTGGACGCCAGCTCCGTATTCTGGCTCTTGAGCGTCTTCACTTTCTCCTCGAGGCGCGAGATGCGCTCTAGCTTGCGTTTGCGGCACTTGGAGGCAGCGATGCGGTTGCGCAGCCGCTTGCGCTCCGCCTTAATGCGCTCCTGCGTGTCCATGTCGATGGGCGACAGCGGCGGGCTCTCGCCGAAGCTCGGCACGTCGGGCACCGTCTGCGGCTCATCCTTGAGCGTGGCCAGGCGCGGCGGCCCCAGCGCGCCTGGGGGCGGAGGCGGCGGCGGGAAGGGCACGGGCTCGGCGGCGAAGGCGACCGTCGCAGCACTTCCCGCACCCCCGGTGCCGCCCGCGTAGCTGCTCAGGTTCGCGTAGACCGGCGCCTCGGGCGTGGCCGCCGCCGGGGCCAGCTCGCCCGGAGGAGCGGCGCCCGCGGCCGTGCCCGAGGGTCCCCCGGCGGCGGCGGCGGCAGCAGAGGCCGCGCCCGCGCCCAGCTGATTCTGCTTGTGTAAGTCCTCCAGGGCCTTGACGAAGCCCTCGGCGAACTCCTGCTCCTCGCTGGCTGCCACCTTGGGGTAGAGGAACTGCGTGCT